TCCCTCGCCGGTTCCTCGGACTCCCTCGCCGATTCCTCGGACTCCCTCGCCGATTCCCCGGACTCCAATTCCGGTCCCACGGACCCCATCTCCGGTTCGACGGACTCCTTCACCGGCTCCCGTCGAAAAACCAAGCACGCCACGGACGCCTTGGCCCGTTCCCGTCTGTGGAACCTCAAAGAACAGGAGGCCTCTCACGCCTCGAGTCGTCCTGTCACCATCAGACTACGTGGAGAATATTCCGCCAAAGTCTGTCCGTAGTCTGATGACGCAGACTGTGCCAACACTGTGTGACTTCGGCACCCAGACCGATCCGATCCTCATACCGAAACCCGCTACACCGACACCGCTAATCCCTAAGCGCGACGCGTTCACACAAACCAAGAAACGCGGCGGTCGGGCTCGAAATAGCCCGTATTACCTCTATACTCCTCGACGAATGTAACCTATATACCAGATTATATTCCTTTAATATATTCCTCAAATATATCCTGAGCTATTATAACCAAAGGAAAAGAGTTGAAAAATTAATTTCCTCCCTTGCGATCCACTTCCTTGGGCGTTCCTAAAATAGAGTTAAGCGGAGTAAGCCCCATAAATTGGTGACCCCGACGTGATCGCAAGGTTTAAAAATGCCGCAAGACGGTGGAGTACAAATTACGGCTGAAAGCCTCGTACACAAAGTCGCTGTTCGCGTACCCCCCTTCTGGAACGACGAACCGGAACTATGGTTCGCACAATTAGAAGGACAATTTACGATTAGCGGAATTACCCAAGATTCCACTAAATATTCGTACGCTCTATCGCAATTAAATTCAAATCAAATCAAAGAGATTAAAGACGTAATCACTCAGCCTCCCGCAACCGAGAAATATGAAGCAAGCGCTCATACAGCGAATGTCTGTCTCCCAAGAATAGCGCACACGACAGCTCTTAGAGCTAGAGGAGTTAGGAGATCGCAAACCATCACAATTTTTACGACATCTCCGTACCCTGGCCGGAAATAATGTTCCAGATTCTCTCTTACGCACGCTCTGGCTGGGAAGACTTCCACAACAGGCTCAGATGATTCTAGCCACCAGGACCGACGACTGTCTTAACGATGTAGCAGTGCAAGCCGATCGCATCCACGAGATGACGAACAAGGCAGTGGCTTCTACGTCCACACCTGCGGCAACCTCTCTCGAAGCAAAAGTAGAGGCTCTAACAAAACAAGTTGCTTCTCTCACCACGCATCTTTCCCGAGACAAGAAACGGGATAAGAAATCCGAAAGAAAACGGAGCCGAAGTCGCAGCCAGAAGCCGGCAAAGAGCACAGACAATGAGAAGCACTGTTATTATCACAACAGATTCGGCGAGAAAGCTAAGAAATGTACTCAGCCATGCACCTACAAATCGGAAAACGAAAAGGAGAGTCACTAGCGGCGGCAAACCGACTCGCCCCTTCACAACGCCGCCTTTTCATAACGTGTCGGGATACCAAGAAGCGATTTCTAGTCGATACAGGGTCCGACGTCAGTGTATATCCACGCTCAATGACAGCAGGCTACACGGCGTCTTCCACCTATGAACTTTTCGCTGCAAATGGCTCTACGATAAACACATACGGCTGGCTTACATTGCAGCCGGAGCTCGGGTTACGACGTGCTTTCCCTTGGCGCTTTATCGTCGCCAATACAGTACCCATCATCGGAGCTGACTTCCTGGCACACTATCACCTGTTACCCGATCTACAGCGAGGCCTTCTCCTAGACGGAAAAACGGAGCTACGCACAAAAGGCACGGCAGAAAAAGGAGCCACGCAATCCATCAAGGTGCTGGCAATAGAAAACGACTACCATCGTATCTTGGCAGAATTTCCCGGGATTACGCGGGTTACTGCCGGGACGCGAAAAGCGAAACACGCTACCAGGCATCACATTAAGACGACGGACGGCCCACCTGAAGCCTGTCGTCCACGAAGACTCGCCCCCGACAAACTCAAAGCAGCCAAGGCGGAGTTCGGCCTCTTGCTCCAAGAGGGGGTCATACGTGTATCGAAGAGCCCCTGGGCGACGCCACTACACATGGTGCCGAAAAAAGGGGATACATGGCGGCCCTGTGGAGACTACCGGAGACTAAACGCGAGGACCGTCCCCGACCGCTACCCCATACCACATATAGAGGATTTTTCGCAACGCCTACACGGCAACAGAATCTTCTCGACACTGGATCTTGTACGAGCGTGAAATCAGATCCCCGTACACCCCGAAGACGTTCCGAAGACGGCGATAACTACGCCTTTCGGACTCTTTGAATTCCTCTTTATGCCGTTCGGACTTCGCAACGCAGCACAAACGTTCCAGCGCTTCATCAACGAGATTATAAGCGACCTGGAATTTTGCTATGCATACATTGACGACATCTTAGTCGCCTCTAGCAACGAAGAGGAACACAAAAAGCACCTGCGTACACTTTTTAAACGCTTAGAAGAGAACGGCATATTACTGAGCCCGGCTAAGTGTGTTTTCGGAGCCGACAAGGTTCTGTTCCTGGGATACGAGGTCTCCGCTGAAGGCACACGACCTCCCGCAGATAGAGTAGAGGCGATCAAACAATTTCCCAGGCCGGAGAACGTCCAACAGATGCGACAGTTCCTGGGCACACTGAACTTCTACCGAAGATTTATTCCCGAGGCCGCACAGGACCAAACCATATTAAACGGTCTACTCAGCGGGGCCAAAACTAAAAAGAAGGCTCCCATTACCTGGACTACAGAATTAGACGAGGCCTTCGAAAAATGCAAAAGCAGTCTCTCAAGGGCTACTCTGCTGGCGCACCCTAAGCAAGATGTAGAAGTCACACTTACGACGGATGCATCTGACACCGCCATAGGAGCAGTAATTCAACAACGAGTCGGAGAAGATTGGCAACCACTAGCCTTCTTCAGCAAAAAACTCAATCCGGCTCAACGAAAGTATAACCCGTACGACAGGGAGCTGCTGGCAATATATATGGCGATTAAACACTTTCGTCATATGCTGGAAGGAAGATTCTTTATCGTATTCACAGATCACAAGCCGATCACATACGCCTTCAACCAGGATCTCCTTCACAGCTCTCCCAGACAAGCCCGGCACCTACAATACATTGGTCAATTCACGACCGATATCCGTCATATCGCCGGCAAAGATAATACGGTCGCAGACGCTCTCTCTCGTATCGAGAGTATTCAGACCGCAGTTAATCTGGAGGACTTGGCCAAAGCACAAGAAGAAGACACCGAATTACAGGACTTCCTAAAGGAAACTTCTTCACTCAGACTCCAGAAAATACCAATTCCCGGAACCAGCTCCACGCTGTACTGCGACACTTCGACACCGGTGGCACGACCATTTGTCACTAAACAGCTTCGAAGACAAGTGTTCCAATCTCTACACGGTCTGTCGCATCCAGGGACCAAAACAACAGCGAAATTAATATCGCAGCGTTACGTCTGGCCACGAATCAAGACAGACTGTCACGAATGGGCGAGAGCCTGTCTCGCCTGCCAAAAATCGAAAGTCCACAAACACGCATTCGCCTGTAGGACAATTCGTCGGCCCCACAAGGCGTTTTCAACACATACATATAGACTTGGTAGGACCACTACCATTGTCTCGAGGATACAGATACTGCCTCACAGCAATCGACAGATTCACAAGATGGCCTGAAGCCATTCCCGTGGCTGATATATCCGCAGAGACAGTTGCCCACAACCTCTTCACACACTGGATCTCGAGGTTCGGCACACCCACACGCATCACTACGGACCAGGGTAGGCATTTTGAAGCCGACCTGTTCCGTCAGTTAAATAAAATAACAGGCACGGTGCATATACATACCACAGCCTATCCTCCAGCAGCCAATGGAATGGTCGAGCGCTTACACCGGCAGATGAAGACTGCAATCAAGTGCCACATAACGGAGGCATGGACAGAAGTGCTCCCAGTGATCATGATGGAGATCCGAGCAGCATATAAGACAGATCTCCAAGCAACACCAGCAGAACTCGTATACGGTGAGACATTAAGACTACCTGGTGAATTTTTACAGGAAACTCCACAGGAGACCAGCAGCTTGAGCGACTTCATACTGCAGCTGAAGAAAGCCATGAGAGATCTACGACCACAGCCAGTAAAGAGGCATGGTACACCGGCCGTCTTCGAACATAAGGACCTGCCAAATTCAACGCACGTGTTCCTCAGGCACGACGCACCAAAAGCGTCCCTACAACCAAGCTACGACGGCCCGTATGAAGTCCTCAGCAGAACGGACAAATACTACAAGTTACGGATTAACGGAAAGACCGTCCACGTAATAATAGACAGAATCAAACCGGCATACATGTTGGCTGACCAGGATGAACCTAAAGCCACACCGGTTACACCAGCCCCGAAGAACTCTACGACGGGCACTCCAGCTCCAGAAGAAACGATCACAAGAAGCGGCAGGACGTCAAAGAAAACTGTTCGTTTCTAAGCCCCGGCTTTCAAACAACGAAAGGGGTAATGTGGCGGCCTACGGCAGCCACAGGCGTCGGGCCCCCAGCAACCACGCGGTCGCGCGCACCTGACGCTTAGCACAGGGCGCCCGGCCCCCAACATAAACGCCTGGCGCTAGCCCCACACTGGGCGGCCGCGCTAGTTCGCGGCGCCGCCGCTGCGTGGCGGATTCTCTCGGGAGTGAAATTTAGTGACTACCAGTATATAAGGGAGGAAAATGCGAGCATTTTCACTTCACTTCGGCGCTCAGTCGCCACGATATAAGCGCGTAGCCGCTGTTCCTTGCGCCCTAGACGCATACAAAGCGCTGAGTCGCTCTCCTTCGGGAATATAAGCGCTGAGTCGCTCTACTTCAATTCTACAAGCGCTGAGTCGCTCCACTTCAATTTTATAAGCGCTGAGTCGCTCTACTCGTGCGCTCAAGCCGCACCACAAGCGCTAGATCGCTTCACTTCCAGGCGCCATGGTTTCGCCAACAAAGCGTAAATCGCTGCATCGTGAGTGGAGATCTGCGTAAAACGCATAGACTCAAAGCGACCTATTTCAGTTGGAATACTAAATCGGTATTTTCTTTCTAGACACTGTTTCCAGGAATAAGAGATCGCGACCTTGGAAATCCGAACGGCCACTTACGCCAAGGCAGGACGACTGGCTACCCGAACAACGAAAGACGCGGCCTATTCCCCTGGACCAGTACC